AGACCGTGGAAGGATCGTTCAGGGACAGAGCTTTCTCGAAGGCGTTATGATGAGGCCGTTCTTTACCAGTTCGAAGAGCTCGGTCCTTTTATCTGGTTTTGGTAATGGTGCGACGTGGTGAGGACGGTGTGGTACCGGCTGAACCCAAAGGTGGTGAGCTCCAGAAGTTACATAAAGCAAAAGAGTTACCTGGACACGGGAAGGCGGGGGATTTTGGGTCCAAAGCTTCTCAGTCGCTTGGACAAGAGAATCCAGGTTTACTCGAGTCCTGCTGTGCGACGAGGACGAGGAAGACGACGAGTACGAAGAAGAGGAAGATGACCTGGCTGCTTCAACCAACTTGGCTCGTAGCTCGTCGGTGGAGTCGGTGCCAGTGATGATCCTGGATTTGAGCTGCTTCAGCCGCTCGCAGATATCCGAGAAGGAAGGCCTCTCTTTCGCATCGTGGTTCCAGCATTCCCGCATGAGCTGCGACAGGAACTCTGGACAGGTGGCTGGTATCTCAGGACGCTTGCCTCGAAGGACTTGCTCCATGTCCATCCCGACCTTGAACGGAATGTTTCCAGTGACAAGCTGGTAGCTCAGCATCCCGTAGCTGTAAACGTCGGCCTTCTTCGTGTAGCGCTCGCTGGTCCACACTTCTGGTGCCATGAAGTTTCTGGTGCCTTGCTTGGGGGTGGCTTCGCTGATGAGGGAGGAGATGAAATCGGGCCTCGAGACTCCAAAGTCGGCAATCCTGATACTCACGAGATCGTTGTCTTCTTCGCCAACCAAGATGTTCTGCGGCTTGAGGTCCCGGTGGATTACGTTCTTCGAGTGAAGCCAAGCCATGCCAGTAGCGACTTGGAGCATCACTGCCACGATCGACAGCAACGAGAGGGAGTTCTTCTTGAGGAGGTAGTTTGCCAGGTCCATGTCCATCTTCTCCATCACCAGCGAGTACTGCCGCTTCTCTCCATCGAAAGAATGGCCGGCAATGTGCAACACGTTGGGATGCTTGTGAGCTCCGAGAACCGCGAGCTCTTTGGCGAAGCTGGTGTCACCTTGAGCGAAGACTTTCACCGCGAACTTGTGACCGAGCCAGATTGCTTCGTACACGGTTCCGTAAGCTCCTTGTCCCAGGTGTGTTCTCAGCTTGAGTTCCTTGTGGTTGATCACTGACTTGTTTCCCAGGAGCATGGAGCAGAGTATCTCTTTGGCTCGTTCTGTCTCGGTCGTCAGGCTTCCCGGCTCTTGGTTCATTGCGAGAGCCATGAGCTCCTTCCGATCGTTCCTTCCGGCTTCTTCCAGCATGCTGCTCGAATTCTGCCTCATGAGGCACGAGTTGTAAGCCTCGGCAATCCTGGATCTGTGCGAGGTGGACGGTGCCAGCTGAAAGAGATAGACGCTGACGAGCTCGACGCAGTTGTAGATCTCGGCGTAAATGCTCTGGAAATCATCGCAGCTTTCCTCAAACAGCAGGCTCCGAGCGATCCAATCGCCCTCTTGGCATGACTTGAGGAGATGGAGGCCTCTTTTAAGGACAGCCACGGTTTCGTCCCATACGAAGGCTCGCCTGTTGCTCGCGAAGTTGAGATCCTGGATTTGCTTGAGATAGTCTCGGACATAGCCGACCGCCGCGATGAGGATCCTACATTGGTTTCTACAGACCTTGCTCGAGTTTGTGTTCGTGGATCTTGTGCCAACCTTGTCCGCGATTCGAATCGCCTCGAGCAAATTCGCTGCTGCCATGCTCGTCGGTGATCACCACTAGCGCCGCTCCATTGCTTTGCAGCGTGGGAAAAGTCTACCGTGGACTTTTCTTTTGAGTAATTATAAATCCTAAGTCTTGTCTGGGAATTATACTTTAATCAGGCATAAGAAATGGCTTTTCTTGTCATCCTCGATATCGATATTTCGATAGGGTTCTTGCAGTGGAGCTCGCTCGTTGCGCCTCTACATCCACAATCCACGTCCCAATCCCTTCCTCTACGCCAAGAAGAGCCCCACGTACTCAGCATTGTTCGCATCGCGCGATCTCTGGTCCGAGCACGCCAAGAAGGAAGGGATCAAAGAGCAAGACAAGGCGCTTGCTGGTGTGGCTCCAGCAAATTCTTCGTCCTTGCACGGCGAGAGCACCGGCTCCAAGAATCCGGGCAAGCGCAACAAAGCGGGGGGTGGTGGTGGTGGTCGATTGGATTTTCAGGTGCCAAAGAGATTGAAGGCCAAGCTGGGCGATGCTTACGTTCGTCCAGCCAAGGTCATGAAGCAGCGGCTAGCTGCCGGGATCGTCTACAAGCCTATGGGGATCCGAGAAGCTGAAAGTGGCAAAGTCGTTCTTTGAGCGGAGAGCAATGATCCTCGATGCTGTGGCGACGAGAATTACTGGTGTCTACGCTGCTGCGGAAGCTGCCAAGGCTGCTTGCTACTGCTGCTGCTAGATCGAAAAGGTTGGGATCTTCACCCGTCTACTCAAGTTTAAAACTAAAGAATGGTGAGAGCTTTGTTCTTGGATATTTGTCGCAGGATGAAACGATGATAGGTGTTTACTCAAAGTTCAGAACGGGAATTGGTAAGTTCTTTATGGTTCTTTCATGAAGCATGGTTGATGCTTTTGGCAGGCAGGAAATTAGAACATCGAAATACTCCGAAACTACCGGTGTTCCACTGGAAAGTATCCTCCAAGGACTCTCATGTGTTGAACTTTGCTGTCAACTGCAACTCAGATACTGTTATGATCCGGCGCAAAAAGACAAAAATCTAGTTGCCCTAGATTATGCTACACCACCTCACCACCCAACCACCCCCAAACTACCTCAAAAGCTCCATTGCGCCGCCACTCCACTGTGAGCCCTAGGGTAGGTTAAGTCCCTTACCTTAACATGCCTTCATATACCCTTGAGCCCCCTTTTGACTGACGTTGACCACGTAGTCAAAGCTGGCGCCTAACAATTCTTCCCCCCCAACAAAGTCCTTGTCCCAAGGACGAGTTGAATTTGTGATCACCCTTTCTAGGGAATCCTACTCAAGCTTCTGGTCCATCTTCCACAGCTGTATACATCAAGGAGGCATTGGGCCCGTCACTCCGAAATAGTACACCTTTCAACTGGCTGACATAAAATACCGGATGAATTTTCACCCCAGCTAGCAGCCACACCCGATAAGCCGCTTTACCAAAGTGCTCCAGCACTTCATATGGACTAGCATATCGATGGGAAAGTTTATCACTCTTCCCTGTCCGTAAAGGCACCAAGGTGTTCTACCGCTCACTTGACGGAAAGATCACGCGTACAAAGATCAGACCACCCACCTTATATTCCTGGAATTGGTGATGCTCATTGGCAAACTTCTCCGCTCTATCCTGAGCTGCTTGCAAATTCTGTTTGCACACCACCAAGATCTCATCAAGTTCTGTGGCCAGATCAGTTGCCTTGGAATCAAGCTTATCTTGAATGTCTTTACTCAAATGCAATCCCAACTCCACTACTATTCGAGGATGCCTTCCAAATATGGCAAAGTAAGGACTTAGCTTGGTTCCACTGTGTTGGCTATTGTTGTAAGCAAATTGCACCAACGGAAGATAAAAATCCCACTATCCTTGCCTTTGACCAATGCTACAATGTAGCATATCCTCCACCATTTGATTTACACGCTCGGTTTGCCCATCTGTCTAAGGATGACCTCCACTCGAGAGTTTCAAAGTCATTTGTATAACCTTTGCAAAGCTTTTCCAAAATCCACTGGTGAACTTTGAATCTCGATCACTAATGATGTCCTTTGGCAAACCAAAATCAGGAAAAACCTTCTCCAAGTAAACCGCAGCCAAGTTTGAGGCAGTGACAATCTTCCGAAGAGCCAACAACCGCACATACTTTGTCAACCGATCCACTATAACCCATACTTGCTCCTTTTGCCTCTGTGTTCGTGGCAAACAAGTGATGAAGTCCATAGAGATACTACACCAACGGCTCTGAGGAATAGGTAAAGGTTGCAAAAGTCCCCCCGGCTTCTCTCGTGGCACCTTAACCCGCTGACAAAGCTCGCATGATTTACAATACTTGAGGATATCAACCTTCATATTCCTCCAATAAAAGTTGCGCTTAATCAATTTATACGTCTTCTTCCCCCCAAAATGACCGGCCTCTGGACGATCATGATAGTGGAATAAAACTTGAGTAATTAACGCATCCACCCGTGGCAAATATACACGGCCATTGTAATAGAGAATCCCATCCACCAATGAGAAAGGAGCTTCCATCTGGTCACGCAAAGAGGCCACCTCAGCATCCTGAGCCTGAGCATGCTCAACCAACTGTCCAAACCCACTGACCACCTTACTCAAATGATGACAAAATCGTGTTTGTAATGTCGTCACATGACGAACACGAGATAAAGCATCTGCCACCACATTGGATTTTCCCGGACAATGCTCAATAGGAAACTCCCCAAACTCCATGAGTTTGACCATCCAACGAGCTTGCCTAGTGTTCAACTCCTTCTGTGTGAAAAGATACACAAGTGGTTTGTGATCTGTCAACACCACGAACATTGCACCATAAAGATAGTGCCGCCACGTCTACAAAGCATGAACAATAGAGAGTAACTCTTGCTCATATGTGGAATAGTATTGCTTTGCGGAATTCAAAGTTCGACTCTCATATGCAATAGGCTGTCCCTCTTGCATAAAAACTCCTCCCAGTGCATAACCACTCGCATCGCATGTCACCTCGTAAGGTTTCAATGGATCAGCAATGCGAAGCACTAAAGCCTCGCTCAACAATCATTTCAGCACCACAAAACTCTCCTCTTGTGGCTTCTTCCACTCGAATGGCACATTCTTGCGTAACAACCATGTCAAAGGAATAGCCACCTCTGCAAACTTATGCTGGAAACGTCGGTAGTAACTAGCCATACCAAGAAAACTGCGCAACTCGGCCATTGTAGTCAGTGTAGGCCAATTTTCCATCATAGCCACCTTCCTTGGATCTGTCTTGACACCCTTAGATGTCACAATATGGTCTAGATATTCCACCTCCGACTTTGCAAATTCACATTTGCTCTTCTTCGCATAAAGTTTGCTATCTCGAAGTAACAAAAGAACCTTGCGCAAATGCACCCTATGCTCCTCCATATTCTTTGCTAAAAACAAGAATATCGTCCAAGAAAATCTCCACAAACTCATGAAGATAACGCCCAAATACCTCCGTCATCAACCGAGTAAATGTGGCCGGTGCATTCGTCAAACCAAACGGCATAACGGTAAACTCAAAATGTCCGAAACTTGTGTTGAATGCCGTCTTGGAGATAGATGCATCATCCATTGCAATCTGATGATATCCACTCCTCAGATCAATCTTAGTAAACACTCGTGCTTCACCAAGCTTGTCCAAGATATCATCCACACGTGGCATCGGCATCTTGTCCTTCACTGTCTTCTTGTTTAAAGCACGGTAGTCAATACACATCCGCATTGAACCGTCTTTCTTCTTCACAAGCAAGACTGGAGCACCAAACGGAGACTTACTTGGCTGAATAAATCCAAACTTAAGTAACTCCTTGACTTGTCGTTGAACTTCTTGCTCCTGCGCATAACTTAACCAAAATGGACACTGGTAAATTGGCCACATCCCCGGCTCTAATGTAATCCCATGCTCCACACCTTGTAACGGAGGTAATCCATGAGGAAGTTCATATGGAAAAACATCAGAAAACTCGTCAAGTACATCCTGTACTATTGCTTCTCCCCCACACGTGCCTTGGTCCCCCAAGTCACGAACAAACAGCAAGTAACTTGAAAGTGCTTTTCTATTACGACAAGCCCGTTTCAAAGATGTAGCAGAGAGCATAACAACTGGTGGTTGAACGCCCTCGCTAAACCACACATCTTTAACGCCACCATACTCCAGCGAGATACGCTTAATGCTCCACTTTATCTCTGGATCCACCTTCGCCAACCATGGCATCCCAAGAATGAGATCCACACGATGGATATCCGTGAGATAAAAAGTCTTCACAAGTGTGGTTTTGCCAACCAACACTTCCAGCCCCTCGACACAAGCATCGAAATGTTGAGTAAAGGTGGCTGCACCTTCCACTGTGTATGGAAGAACTCCACGTGTGACCAGGCCATGCTCCGCAGCAGAAACAAAGTTGTCATCGCTCCCACTATCTAGTAAAATCCGCATTAGATCGCCACGGAACACACCCTCCAGCATTAAAGCTGATTCACGCATATCCTCGAGCTCCATCTTGTTCCACACACAGTTGAGCTGATGAGCAACGATCGAAAGTCGCTTCCTCCAACCGGAATGGTCGTTCTCCTCATCCTCACGCTGCAAAGTTTACAACTTTTTAGTATCGGACTTACCGTGAGAAGAAGATTGGCCATTCTTCTTGTCCTGCTGCTTGTTCTTCAACTGCGGACAATCAGCCTTGTAGTGTCCAAATTCGCTGCAATGATGACAACCTTGTCTATAATTCTTCACAAAGAACTTCTACTTCTTGGACCCCTTTGCATCCGAAGTAGTCACCACTGACTTCAATTTGTGATGCTTGTTCCCATCCTTGTGTCCATGGTGATCATCACGACGATTCTCGACAGAAGGACTCCGCAAACGCTTGCGAGACTTGTGCTTATCATTGTCAAGTCGACGAGCCACATCAAAGAGCTCCTTCAAACTCTTTGTAGGCTGAGAATGACGCAAGTGTTGCCGCATGCTCTCACTATGTAGGCCATCAATGAAGTAGGACTTGTTCTGATCTGGATCCTTCGTTGGAACACGACTAATCAAGCAAGTAAGCTTCTCAATATAGTCCCCGAGCATCATTTTCCTTTGCTGAAAATGTCAAAGTTCTGTACGAGCATTCTCCATGTCGTAATGAGGGGCAAAACATAAATGAAAAGCAACCTCAAACTCATCCATGGTAGACACTGGTGGTTTCTTATCCACAACACGGGACTCCTCAAGCCAATTCCACCATCGAAAACCCGCATCACGCAAAACCATCGGAATAGCCACTAAAGCCTCTGCATCTGGAGTTCCTCTAGCAGCCAAGAACTTCTTCACATTGGCTAGCCAAGCGAGACACTCGTCCACACCACCATCACCGGAAAAATTTGGAATTTTGAGTCGATCTACCAAAGAAGGTTTACTTGGAGCGCTACCCCGTCCAGCCTCGAGTGCCTCAACACGCCCACGCATGGTATCCATCATGCCATGCATCTCATCTTGCATCTCTTACTGATTTCGGTTAAGGGCTCGCAGCTCATGAACCACATCTTGAATGGTCTAAATCTCTGCAGCTTCGTCAGCACCATTGTTGGCACCACCATCGACAATAGGATTCCAGCGTTCAGCTTGGTCGGCCATCGCAACCAACTTCTCTGATACCAATGTTATGATCCGGCGCAAAAAGACAAAAATCTAGTTGCCCTAGATTATGCTATGCCACCTCTTGAGGTTCCTCACCACCCAACCACCCCTGAGCTACCTCAAAAGTTCCACTGCACCACCACTCCACTGTGAGCCCTAGGGTAAGTTAAGTCCCTTACCCTAACATGCCTTCATATACCCTTTGACCGATGTTGACCACGTAGTCAAAGCTGGTGCCTAACAGATATGCTGCGACAACAAACGATTTGAATCAAATGAATAACACGAAGAGCTTCATACGAACCTGGAGACCCATGTTGGTGCCACCCAGCATGTTCACCAGCTTCATCCCCAGCTCGCTCTTTGGCGGTGTTATAGCCATCATGCCGTGGAAGTTCTGTGAAAGCTGCTCCAGGATCCTCAGCACCTGAGGTGATGACCATGCCTGTCCATTGACGTCTTTGAACAGCAAGATGCCAATCTCGTCGATCCAGAGCAACCTGCGAGCAGTGTCTTCCTTGAAGTTGGTGTTGATTTGCTCGGCCAGTTCCATGAGCATTGATTCACTGAAGACAAGCAGGACGGTATGCTCCACCTGAGCTGACAAAGCTTTGATGAGCAGCTGGAGGACGTGAATGGATTACCTTGGTGCAAAGCCACCAGACCATGGAAGGATCGTTCAGGGACAGAGCTTTCTCGAAGGCGTTTCTGACGAGGCCGTTCTTCACCAGTTCGAAGAGCTCGGTCCTGTTATCCGGTTTTGCTACTGGTGTGAAGTGCTGAGGACGGTGTGGTACCGGCTGAAACTAAACGCGATGAGCACCGGAAGTTACTAAAAACAAAAGAGTTTACCTGTACAAGGGGAGATGGAGGATTTTTGGTCCAAAGCCCTTCAGTCGCTTGGACAAGAGAATCCAGGTTCACTCGAGTCCTGCTGTGCGACGAGGATGAGGAAGACGACGAGTACGAAGAAGAGGAATACGACCCGGCTACTTCAACCAACTTGACCCGTAACTCGTCGATGGACTCGATGCCAGTGATGATCCTGGTCTTGAGCTGCTTCAGCCGCTCGCAGATATCCGAGAAGGAAGGCCTCTCTTTCGCATCGTGGCTCCAGCATTCCCGCATGAGCTGCGACAGGAACTCTGGACAGGTGGCTGGTATCTCAGGACGCTTGCCTCGAAGGACTTGCTCCATGTCCATCCCGTCCTCGAACGGAACGTTTCCAGTGACAAGCTGGTAAATCAGCATCCCGTAGCTGTAAACGTCGGCCTTTTTCGTGTAGCGCTCGCTGCTCCACGCCTCCGGTGCCATGAAGTTCCTGGTGCCTTGGATGCTAACGGCTTCGATCTGGGAGGAGATGAAGTTTGGCCTCGAGACTCCAAAGTCGGCAATCCTGATACTCACGAGATCGTTGTCTTCTTCGCCAACCAAGATGTTCTGCGGCTTGAGGTCCCAGTGGATTATATTCTTCGAGTGAAGCCACGCCATGCCAGTAGCAACTTGGAGCATCACTGCCACGATCGACAGCAACGGGAGAGAGTTCTTCTTGAGGACGTAGTTTGCCAGGTCCATGTCCATCTTCTCCATCACCAGCGAGTACCGCTGCTTCTCTTCATCGAAAGAATGACCGGCGATGTGCAACACGTTGGGATGCTTGTCCGCTTCGAGAACCGCGAGCTCTTTGGCGAAGCTCTTGTCACCTTGAGGGAAGACTTTCACTGCAAACTTGTGACCGAGCCAGATTGCTTCGTACACGGTTCCGAAACCGCCTTGTCCCAGGTGTGTTGTCAGCTTGAGTTCCTTGTGGTTAATCACTGACTTGTTTCCCAGGAGCATGGAGCAAAGTATCTCTTTGGCTTGCTCGCTCTCGGTCGTCAGGCTTCCCGGCTCTTGGCTCATTGCGAGAGCCATGAGCGCCTTCCTGTCATTCCTTCCGGCTTCTTCCAGCATGCTGTTCGAGTTTTGCCTCATGAGGCACGAGTTGTAAGCTTCGGCAATCTTGGATCTTACCGAGGTGGACGGTATAAATGCTCTGGAACTCATCGCAGCTTTCCTTGAACAGCAGGCTCCGCGCGATCCAATTGCCTTCTTGGCACGACTTGAGGAGATGGAGGCCTCTCTTAAGGACAGCCACGGTTTCGTCCCACACGAAAGCTGTCCCAGTGCTCGCGAAGTTGAGATCCTGGATTCGCTTGAGGTAGTCTCCGACATGGTCGACCGCTGCTAAGAAGATCCTACATTGGTTCCTACAGACCTTGCTCGAGTTTGTGTTCGTGGACCTTGCGGCAACTTTGTCCGAGATTCGAATTGCCTCGGCCAAACTTTTTGCTGCCATGCAATCACCACCAGCGCCGATTGATGTTAGAAAGCTATATCCTGGAAAATGATTGTTGACTTTTCGAATTTCATGTGTAGTTGCGCTTCGAAAATATAAACTAGTATCATGGCACGTTTTGTTCTCCATAGTGGCAAGATCAAGGGGTAATGCTATTGATATTTTTTTGGTGGAGTTGTGCTAGTTATTGGGGAAACGTGATTGTGTTTGAGGCCAACTTGCTAAGTGATTGTGTTTGATGCAACTTGCCAATGTGGGTGTGCAGAAATATCCATTACTCCTGGGGAATAATACGTTTAATAAGACCATAAAAGGCTACTTAAAGTTGTTTAAGAGTCTGAACTTCTAAAAGTACTGTTTTAGGTGACTAAGCATGGAAGTTTGATCCAAGATATCAGAGGTGTTTTGCAAGGCCTATGTAGTAAAAGTAAAGTTAAATATGTTTTTTATATCACTAACACTACAAGAAAATATGATGATATGGAATCAACAGAATTTAAAGTACATCATTTTATATGATTAAAATGTGATTTGTATGCCATTTAAACCTGCCACATAGACATCACAAAAAATCTAGTGAAGTTTTTTTTGCCTTTAGTATTGCACTTCCTTTATATCCAGCCAAGAACAACAGCTTTCCCACAATCTTAGGTGTGATGTGGGCATGATATGCTTCAAAAGCAAATTTTACATATTGGTGGGTGTGATGAAGAGTAGGAGCATGCATTGATTAGGGTTTGGGTGAGAGGTCTTTGTATGCAAGCAGTTATGACTTCCATTCTTTCATGTGTGCTATTTAGGAGTGATGTTGGCACTTGAAGATTAGCATATATTGATCAAGGTTAAGTGAGATTGCAAATACTTGTAACTCTCGTTCCTTTGTGTTTTGGGCATATTGTGCTATTCCCACGTGATATAGGCATTGTTCTTGCATTGATTGTGGACTTAAGGTTGGAGTTTATATTAGATTGTTGGTCAAGGCTTTTTGTTTCTTTTCTTGGGCATATTGCAATACATAGAGATAGTTATTGTGTGGGGTAATTTTTCATTTATTTAGCTTTTTTCATTGGTATAAGTTTTATGCTCATTGCAGTGAGCATAATTGTGGGGCATTGGAATGTTATAGTTATACACAAGTGGTTGTAATGATTCTTTATGTGTCAATTATGCATGTGTTTATATGACGTGGAAGGGGGCATATGGGTGATGCCCTCCACTTTGCTGAATTTGCTCAACCTATACATATACATGACCACACTCACGCAAACATACTTTCAAGCTAGTCTTTTGCTGATAAGCTTTAAAATATATAGTAAACAATATGAACTTGTGTTTTATACAAAGTGTAAATGGAGATTTAGAGGCAATATTTATAGATCAACCATGCATGGTTCTAATTCATGTACGGGAATACTAATTTGTGTGTGGCATAATAAATTTCTACCTATTGACACATTTGTTATTATTTTTGTTTCCTAAGAGAAACATTCATGCTCTATTGAGGTGGGTATTGTGAATTTTTAGGCTTAGAATGGGCATGTTATTCATGTACATATGGCTTCAATATCGAGGACCATATTATATTCTATTCCCCAGATCCACAAAACATATGCATTTTTTCAACAAGATCTTGGTCCTTTACAAATTGTGGAAGAATCAACTCCACTACAAATCACATAAAAACACCACTGGTGGAGGATCCTATTGAAATGGAGATATTAAAAGAAATTGCACCAACACTTTAAAAACATGCACTAGTTAGAGTTTTCATCACTACAAATGGTGTAATGATTGCCATTGAAATGTAAGGATTCAATTCAATGTGTTAGAATTTGTTTGCTAACTCTTTTAGAACTTATATAGTGGGGCAATGGAGCCTAGAACACAATTTTATATTGTATGACGTGAAAAGTAAGATTTAGAGCTTGAGTCTCATTGTCGCGAATGTGACTTCAGGTATCGAAAGTTACCTGTCGGCCAGTCCTTACGGACACTCTTACCTTACTGCCACGATGGCAGGAGGTCGGTATTGCTGGACCCGTTATCAGTTCCCACTTGAACTAGTTGAGAAACTGGTCAATGAACATGCACTTAGATTGGATAAACATAAGGTAGGAACCCTATGTGTTTCTTGCTGAGCATACTCGGCCTGGTTTGAGAAACTTGTGTCATTGGCTTGCACTTGCTAGTATCAAGAACCCCCGCGATATTGAGATTGGTCCCTCAACATCGCTAGATGATAGCTTACCGTGTCTGCCAAACACCCTTGCTATCATGCCCTTTGTGTTAGTCTCATTTCGGTCCCAAATGCTATTTATGGAAAGTGTCCAGATTTGCTCATTTGGCATATCTACAGAATGTAGAGATCGGCCTGAACACAATGGTGTTTGTCCCGTGTCCAAATTCGCAATCTAAGGACATTCCATATTTAGTAAGTTTCGAGTTTGTCCCAGAGACTAACTCCTGATACTAAGGGAGGCTTGGGGTGAAAGCCCAAAGCGTGTGTTCCTCAAGGGGGGGGGGCTGTGGGGGGTTCCAAATGTATAGTAGGGATAGTGGGTAGGTCGGGCATGGCCGACCAACCTGAGGCATAGTCTAGCTCCCGCTTGCGTGCCTGTCCTTGTTCTGCGTCCGGCTTGGGTCTAAGCCCAAGTTCCATTCCATGCTAGTTGGTGGAGTACCCATATCCTCGCGTTAGGCCACCGGTATGCCGAAATAGCGCCAGACTCTGTTTGGCTCCGTTTTGCGTGCTGGTCCTGGCATTGGGATGCTGGTTGCTCTAGGACTGTTCCAAGTCGCTCCGGGCTCCTGTCCCTTCGCTCCTTGGGCTGTATGCTCGGGAGTTGCTCCGTGGTCCGGTTCCATCACTCCTTGGCTCCACGCTTGGGAGTTTGGCACCGTTCCTTCGTTCAGTGGCCCAAGGCCCTGAACCTCGGGTTTCTATGGACACGTGGCATGGACACGTGGCATGTGACACGTGGCATCTGTCACGTGGCACAAAGAGGGTTTAGGTTCCGCTTTGTGGTGTTATCCTATGGTAAATCACCATAGGATAAAGGGTCAAAACCACGTGCGCTACATTTGGTATCAGAGGATGAGTCTCAGCGAGTACTATTCAATGAGATTGGGCAACTAGTCTCGTTGCATACGCAGAGATGAAAACGATGATCCGAGTGGGTACACGTTTTGGTGCAAAGACTTCGCATTGGTTCCTTGGGATAGGTTTTGGGTTACCTTGTTGTACCTTATGATGTGAGCTTGCGCTTGGGCTCATAGGATGGATTGGAGATGTTCCATTTGCACGAGTTTGAGCTTGGGCTCGTGAGTGAGGCGCATTAGCAACTTGAGGTTACACTTTAAGTTGGCAGGATTAATGTAAGCCTATCGATGGTTCCAGTGGTTCCATGAGTTGTTCCATGTACCGTGGGTGAAAGTAAACTTTCCCTGAGTTTGCTATGAGTGGCAAATAGGCTGGTCCATAGCTGTTTAGCACGGCACTAGTGGATCCTTCCTAGGCATGATTATAATTGGATCAGTCAAGACTGTAGGGAATAGTCTATTGGTTCAAGTAATCATTGCCGTGCTCTCTCATAAACTTTTCTTCGATTGAACTGAAGGCAGTGCGAAAGCAAGCTTGAGGTTTGGTCAAAGATGAGACCGAAAAGAGAGTCATCGAGGACGGAGGATCAAATACGTAAATCATTTTCTCTTCTTGGAGAGATGATTTGCAATGAGGTGTTAACTCATTGCTTGTGTTCACATTATGCAATCAAGAGTCCCTACCTTGATGCATGTTGGAAGTGATGGTCTTACAAGTGGTGAGTTATGGGATGGATAGTGGTGAAACACTAAACCATTTTGTCTAGGCTCGCTATTGAAAGACTTGGGTTGCAATGCTCAATTCTTTTCCGGGGAACCTTGCTATTGCTCCTTGAGTAGCTTGGTGTTGGATTAGTGTTGAGTTTGGTCGGAAAGAGAGTGGCATGAGCTTGTCCGTGTTGTGAACAAAAGTTAGTGGTGTTGGGTGTCGTAAACCTCTATTGGTGGAGTGTGGCATTTATGTTGCATTTGGTCGAATCGAGTTGACACTTGATACTCACATAAACATTTGTAGTAATGACATTGGCATTGCTCGTGGTGTTGCTCAATTGATGATCAAGTCATTGTGATGCTTATATCATATCCATGTGATAAAGAGTAATGCGTTTACGAAGTTGCTTGGGTAAATGATGATCAACCCCAAAGTGGTTGATGGACAAGCTAGTCTACTTACACGAAGTAGCATTGTAGTAGCTTTGACTGGATTCTCAATGGTGGTCCATTATGCTAAGCTTAAGTTGGTTCCTTGTTTCCTTAAGTTTGCCCACTAAGGTGTTGGAAAAGGGTTGTAGCATTCATTTGCTATAGCTTGTCGGTTGATCCGTTAGCACTTGGAGTAGATTGTTGGATGGAGAAGATGTGGAGTTGGGGCATTGACGTCACTAGCACTTGTGTTAGTGGAAGTGGCATTGTTATTTCAAGTGATGAGGAATTTTCCTTGGACCTTGATTTTTCCATGTCATTTTTCTTGTTAGTGTTTTGGCTTCACATTGGATCTTGAAGATGATTGAAGAAGAGTGTTAGTGCAATGTGGATATCCGAAGATGTGGTCTTCGTGATCAAGCCTTGGATGTTCATTTTGCACTTTGCGGATGTCGGAGTTGGATGTCAGGAAAATGGGCAA